CCAACAAACCAACGAACCAACCTACCTACCTACCTACCTACCTACCTACCTACCTACCTACCTACCTACCTACCTACCTACCTACCTTTTAGAACGCAAGTCACGTGAATCTGTCAGCCCGACACTGATGCTCGTACAAAGTCTCGTAGCAGCTCCATCGATTTCAATGGAGCTGCAACGGTTCAGCTCCGTTTAAACTTGAATGACATGATTAAGTTGTCTAGCCACAGTTACAGCTGCCTCTAGATATTTGTTCATCTGCTTGTTGATTAGGAAGTACAGTTCCTCTAGTGCTAATTTAGTATTAGAGTTGAGAGTAGAGGTGGGGTGTTACTGAAGTTGTGGAAGCTGCTGACTGGGATACAGCAAATCTCTCAAAGTTCTGAACATCCTGCAGTTTAAGACATCGCAGGTCGAGGGAGCAATGCTAACTAATTATAGCTGTAAATGCCAAGAGAGCAAAAAAGTTAATCAATGTTGAAATATGGGTAACGCTTTCTTTTACGGTACCCTTATTATCATGTAATTACAATGTAATAAAATGTAAATAAAAGGTAATTACTACCTTATTACCATGTAATTACGTGGTAATTACAGTACAATTTTACTATGTAATTAATTGTCTGCAGTAATGTAGCACTTACCTGGTAATGTATTACAATTCACTATTTAACACCCAAATAAGTAGTAGGTAATTTGCACAYTTTTAAAGTTATATTTTATTGCACTTAACCACTAACCCCAAAATTTAGTTGCATTCTTTTGGTTATAAATATAGTGTTGAGTTACTATTGAATGGTAATTTAATTGTAGTTACCCAATGAAGGTAGTTTTACTAACAGTAGTTTTTCTTTTGTACCATTATTACCATGTAATTACATACTAATTACATGTAATTACAGGCATTCCAATGCTGAAGTATGTAATTACATAGTAATTACATGGTAATGATGTAGTAATTACATTTAAATACTTCATTATCTTGTAATTACATGGTAATAAGGGTACCATAAAAGAAAGCATTACCGAAATATGGTTGGGCATAATATTGAATCCTTGTTAAAATGATACAAAAAGTGGTRGAAGACTGAAACAACGTTAGGTTTTCAACCATAACTGATATTATATCAGTGTTGATTGAACATTGATTAGACACTGGCATTTCAGTCATTAGAGTTTGACCATGAAACAACATTGATTTAATAACATCTTTTCAACATTGGTTCTTTGGCTACAATTAGAAGATTGGCTGATGGTTGATTCACCATCAATCATTGACCTTAACCAAAAATCAACTTTTCTGACCACAATTCAACATTGAATTAACATTTTTTGCTATCTGTGCACCATGTGTTATGCTCCTCTTTATCATCGGAGAAATAAAGTCCAGAATCGGGATGCAGAAGTCTGTAATGCTTCCCAGTTTCAGTCGTTCAGTCCTACTACAGAGTACTGAAGCTTCAAGTAGCTGGAAACTTGCCAAAAGAAACTATAAAATAACAAAAATCCGAGATCTTTGAGCCGCTGGGTCTATATGCACTGCCATAATATATTAATTAACTCTCTCTATTCACCCTAATATACTGTTGTCCTTCTGGTAAACATGGTAGAGATACACTGTTTCAGTTGACCAAACTGTTTCACAGAAAGAAGATACAAGTTTTATGTTTTGCTGATTTACAGATATGATAGAGTGTATTCAACTGGTTTCACAACCACAGTATTTAAAAAAAGGAAACTGATATTTTTATTTAGTTCTAAAATAGGACCTAGTGAAGAAGGAACATTTGACCTCCAGACCTGCAGACTCACCTTTGGCCCCAGAACTCCATCTTCTCCAGGGATCCCGGGGATCCCAGCGGCCCCATCAGGTCCTGGTTCACCCTGGGAAATATCCCCAACATCTCAACATCCGTGGCACCTTTTAGAGGTTAGATTTCAAAACTGGTTTTACAATTGGCTTTGACTGTCCTACCTTTYGTCCTTGTTCACCTGTGCCCCTCTCTCCTTGAGGTCCAGGCTCTCCAGGAAAACCCTGATCACCCTGGGAAGAAACACAAATCGCCACGAGTTTTAGTTAATATCCATTCAAAACAAAGGTCATTCTGGGGCATTGTACAAAAACTTTAAGGGAATTAGTAAAGGTTATCAAAGAAATATCAACAAATTGTGTTGTGTCTACCATCCTGAGCAGTACATTGCTGAAAGTTAAAGGAACAACCACCTTTTAACAGCAAGAAAAACCCAATTTGCAAAGGTACAGTAGCAGCATCGTATGCTGCCACTTTAAAACAGAATTTCAGCTTCTGTATCAAAGCACATCTCTACCTGTCTGGAGTACTCTGCTTGCATCATGACGTCTGTCTCCTTCCGCTGCCCAGGTAAGAGTGGCTAATATGTTTTGTTGCTGTAGTTTACACTAATACTTGATGCTAATGTAAACTGTGTCCTGTCGATGTTCACTTCTCTCCTCTGCTGTCTCCTGGTTTTAAGGATCAATCCAACTTTGTGTGTCTGATCCATGGCTAAGGTAAGGGCTAGCTTTGCTATGCTGTTTCTACCCTCGCCATGTAAAGAAAGACTCATACAGGCCTTATTTATTTATCAACTATGTGTCTATGCTGTAATATACTGATTTACAGGCAACATGATGCTGTAAGTGCTATTTTGGAGAGCACTTTGGCATAAAGGGGCAATATCATGTAAAATCAACTTTTGAGTTTTACATCATGTTATAATGTTATACTGTAAATTTAAAGCCTTGCTCTGACTCATTCYTCATGTTTGAGAAATCCTGCAGTGTTTTTATGAAGCCATGCTGAGGAGCAAAACGACAGGTGGAGACCAGAAACACCTTTTGGTACCAGAAACACCCCTGGGACGTGTCTTTAAGCTGAACTTCCTCAACACGGAGCACACCTCCCCAATCTCCACCCCACACACCACACCCATGACTCCTGCAGGCTCTCGGCTGTAACAAAGCAAACGAGTGAAACTGAAAGTGAAACTT